ATAGATCTTTGGTCTTTGCAAAAAATAAACTGAACAAGTACCAACATATACTGTATTTTCATACTTTGCACAAAACAACAATATTGTGGAAAGGGAGTAAAATATATTCTTATTAGATCAGTAAATACTATTGTGTATTCTATTCAGAGTACACAGTAGAATGTGTCATTAATAATTTTGAATTTTATTCAAAGCATACTAATTAAACAAAAGATTAGATTTTCTTTTACACTAAATAGTTTTGCCATATTGATGTCAGCACTTAGTTATTAATTCACTTCAAAAAACTGTTATTACAAATAAACCTATAAAACTGGCAAGTAGTTTCCATTGGAGTATATTCCATTGGATATAAAAAGTATATGGAACTTTTATGTCATACCTTGCTAGAGTTCCATGGTAAACCTTTTTCAATAAGTCCTGACTTTCAAATTTTAATGAGCTATCACAGATATTCTAAATGTAGCACAATATTCTAATGACAGAACCTAGAGTGGATTTATACAGGGATGTCAAATTTCTAACAATATCAGACAATAGCACAAAATAGGTAAGATCCAGAGTTATAATAGTTTTGAGTTCTTTGATAACATTTTCTTGGAAATTTAAGAAGTCTATGTTAAAATGTTATAAATTGCTTCGAAGTTGTAAATTTGGGATTGATAAAATGTATGTAATCTCTTAAGAGTGAATATTAACCATATGCTTTCTTCTTTGTTAAATTTATAAAGAAGTTTGCCCCAAGATGCCGTTCTTTTTCTACTTTGCCTTTAGAATCACTTGGTTGCATAATCAGAAATTCTAAAAATATTAAGGCTATCACGGTGGATACAAATGTGAGTTCTAGTCCTCCCTTGGGCATGAGAGTTTGCTAGGTAGCTTTTGGCCAGACACTCTCTCTTCCTACTTGAAGGTAAACTAGAACTTGGATTTTCCTGTTCAACTCCTTAATTACTACACCACAGTGGCTGGCTGTGTGTATACGCATATGTATATAAATCTTATATATAATCATTTTGAACTCTTATTTCCCTTCAGAGACTTTGGACACAAAACTCATTTGTAGCAGAGAAGCTCCATCTTGTTTAGCTATTACACAACAAAGGAAGAACTTGCTAACCATTTGTAGCAATTCATTGTTTATGCATGTGAGACAAGGAGGAGGATGCTGGGATAATAATATTTTTGCAACTGTTGTCTTTACAAATATTTTACAATTATATAAAAGATAATCTTAAGAAATTATTATGATTTAAGTTTGAAGCTGATTCTGTTGAATGTGTATTTTTTTTATTAATTTACCACAATAAAATAAAATATCCATAGACTAGGGCTGGGCAGCCAGGATATTTCTCGCTCCATCACTTGCAGAGTGGCCATTTCTTTTATTTTCTTGCTTGATTGAATGTAGCTATTCCAACTCCTCTCCCATCCATTTTGTATATTCTGCCACATTCAATGTCTACAATCCCAGCATTTCAGCTGGATTTTTCTGGATGCTAACTCTATGGCTGAAGAATGAAGGTGACTCTTTTGCCAATATAAACAATCCAATGGCAAGCGATCCTTTTGTATTTTCTGCTCTGTCTGGACAGATATTTAATAAAATTCCCAGTAATTATTTTCTTGTTCTACAAAATCCAAAGTTAGTCAGGGGGAGGATGTCATTCCCCCCTCAGCTTCACAAACTTTAAACTATGTAGGCGAGAGTCATAATCCAATTTCACTCCAATTGATAGCCAATATATTGCAATGATTGTTCTGCTAGAGCAGGCATGTCAAACTCACAACATCACGTGACGTCGCACAATGTATCACGACTTTTTGCCCATTGCTGGCAATGGGGTAGGCGCGGTTTTGTGATGCATCCGGCCCGTGGGCCGGCAGTTTGACACGCCTGTGCTAGAGAGATCCCATTTAGCTAAAAGCTTCATGTGCTGATTGTAGCCACTCAAATGACTGTCATGAGAATGAATTTGATAACATGCTCTTAGAATTCAAAACAAGTAAACATGCAGTAAATCAAATATATTCTTCATTAGAAAAGGTAATGTGTTTTTAACGTCATAAACAATTTATTTATTATGGCAGTAGCTTTTATCATGGATGCAAAATGCTTTGGTTGTTTTGTGAGTTCTTCAGTATGAACTTTAACCTTGAACTAAAGTAGTCCTTGACTTATGACCATTCATTCAGCAACTATTTGAAGTTATAATGGTGCTGAAAAAAAGTGACTTACAACCAGTCCTTACACTTATGACTTTCACAGAGTCCTTGCTGTCACATGATTGTGATTTGGACACTTGGCAACCAACATGTATTTACGACAGTTTCAGAATCCCAGGGTCATGCGATGACCATTTGCAACCTTCCGGTTGGATTCCAACATACAAAGTTGGTGAGGAAAGCTCAATTTGCTTAACAACCATGGCACAACGATTGTACAGTTGAGTGTGGGCATGCCATGACTTACTTAACTGTATCATGGTGGAAGTTCTGATCCCAATTGTAGTTGTTAAGTCCACTACAACCTGTACTTTCAGGTACACTTCCATAGAAATATGCATGATTTCTAAAATTAAATGTTCAGTTCCCAACTGAAGCTATATAGCTGTGTCACTTAATTTTGCTATAGCTTTTCAATGCTTATTGGTAAATACAACCATCTAGCATTCCATATCTAGGATTTTTTTTTACTTAGCATTGGGAGGGCAGAGAAAGAAATCAGAGTAATGTCTTCTCCGTTTTAAGAATAAATACAGGGACCAACTGTAACCAGTTTTGAAATTGTTCAAACCTAAACCTTAATTGAAAGCAAAGATGTGTTGATAAATATGCTTTTCTCACTGCTTGTTATAACAATTTGAGATATTTTGTTTCCAAATCCATACATTTTGCTAAGTGCAAAAATGAATATTTAGAAATCCTCGTATTAGATACAAATTACTTTTGTATCTAACACTATCCTATATCCAAAAGACAAAGTGCCATTATTTAATATGGTTGTTTTCAGATAAGTAGCTATAACGTTACAATCTCAGAATCAGTCTGATTCAGCTAAGGATATCTGTGTGTATAAGCAAGTCTGGACTCAAGAAAATGGATATAAATTTTCAGTGCCTAAGAATATCTGATTGCATTTTTTCTCTAAGATACAGAATATATATCTTGCCTACACTGAACTTCAAGGAGCCAGACACAATCTACAAATCCTTGACTTACAACAGTTTGTTTAGTGACCGTTCAAAGTTACAATGGCACTGAAAAAAGTGACTTATGACCGTTTTTCAGACTTACAACCCCAGTCATGTGTAATTTACATTCGGACGCTTGGCAACAGGTTCATATTTATGATGGTTGCCGTGTGCCGCCATCATGTGATCCCCTTTTGCAACCTTCTGACCAGCAAAGTCAAGGGGGGAAGCCAGATTCACTTAACAACCGTGTTCCTAACTTAACTGCAGTGATTCACTTAACAAATGTGGCAAGAAAAGTCATAAAATGGGGCAAAACTCACTTCGCAAATGTCTCACTTAGCAAGACGTTTTGGGCTCAATTGTGGTCATAAGTCGAGGACTACCTGTATTTTGAAAATGCAGCTAGAGCAGAGTCAGGGTGTTTGACTAATTATTTCAACTCTAGCCAAATCCATTATTTTTTGTGGGGGCACAGGGAGGAAAACATATTTCCATACAACCATAATTAATTCTAAGTTGAATTTCAACTACTGGCACTGAGTCGAGTAGCATTTTAACCAATAGTGAAATTATATAATTAATGTTTGAGAGGTTTTTCTTACTTCCTAGGGGAGGGGGAACACAAATTTGTTTTAAAACTTGCTTCAAACCCTATGACAAGAAGTGCAACTGTGCTTAACAGCAGTATACACATACTAAAAAAGTACTTTTCCTTCAATGTTAGTTATGTATGTTGTAAGCAAAATGATTAATGCAGTAAGAAATATATTCTACAGCTAAAAATGAAATAATGTGAAACATAAATATAAAAATATCAAAGTTGTGCTTAGGAATATAACCTATTTTCTGAAGCTATACTCTCACTTTGTAGACACAAGTAATTTCCTAGGCATCTACTGGGTGCTATCCTTCTATAGAGATTGTCTGTCACATTTTAAGAGTGAAGCACTGTGTTAGCATAAATTTCAGTCATTTCTGAAAAGCAAACATGAAAAAGTTACAGTGCCAGTATCATCATTAAATTATAATTTGAATGCATAATTTTGTTCATATAAAGTCCAGCTGGTAACAGTAGCCTTGAACACAACCAAAATAATTAAAATACACATTTGAGCCACTTTTCAGACTTTCCTGTGATACAAAGAACATAATCTGTGAAGGTACTAAAATTATTGCCTCTACAGCCAAGCACTCTTGTAAAATGTTCTTAGTGTTTTCTTTGACTGAAAGTTTAAATAAAATTTAGCAATGTAGATATTTACTGGGAGTTTTTCTTAACTCAAGACTATTTGACAGTTGCTTTTCTAATTAGTAGTATGCACACACAATAGTAGTAAATACCAATTCTCATGCTCATGTTTGACCAAAGCCCTTATCAGAAACAAATATTCATGACAGAGTCAACAAGTGACTCTTACAGAGAATATCAATTTTTTTGGCAGATATAACTAATAATACAGCCAATTTACTATGCTATATTTTTCTGTGGAGATGCTAAACACCACCTTACAATTCATAAAGAAATATTTGCCACATGAACCTGAGCAATAAATGACCTATTGGGAGCATTCTTATCATCTTAACATCAATGTGAGAAATAGATCCCAAAATAATCATAATTCAGATTGTGATAAAGTGCTTTTTTGTAATCCAGTCAGTTGTGGGGACTAGGAAACCTTTTAAACTCTCCTGTTCCAAGGCAGTTAGCATTCAAATTATTGTATTGTTATTTTGTTAAAGTCACTAGTATAAGGTAGCTATTAGAAAAATATATTGCAATAATCAATTGAAATTCTGAGTACTTTACTTTCTGAGTTTCTTATTCCCAGTCACAACAAAGTAATTATCATCCTGTTTTGACTTTACTGTGGAATCCTTTAACCTAATCTGTGTTCCTTTAGTTAGAACAGTTTCAGCTTTTCCTTTTAAAACAGGATCCTTAATGGTTGAATCAACGTCTTTATCATTCTTTTGGGAGACTTTGACCTGTGTCTGACTTTTGATGTTAGCTTTTAATGTCTTTTTCTTTGTCCCATTTATGGTTGATGTTTGAGGAAAACGCACAATAGATAATGGCATACGATCAGAATGTGTTGTTACATCAGTTGTTACCTGTGTTTTCATCCTGCTATTTTGAACTGGTCTCTTCTTGGCTGAAGAATTATTAACAGGTGAAAATAAATTTTTACTCTTTACATCTACTGTAGATGTCTGCTCAGCTGCTTTATCATTTGTAAGAGAGGAATTAGAACTCAGCTGTTTGGGGCCAAGACCAGTTTTCTGTTTGGTTTGCTTACTTTCCAATTTCCCTCTGTGTGAATAAAACTGTGTGGGTAATGTTTGACTGTTATTTTGGGAAATTATTTTTGTAGGCATTGTAGAAGATGTTTGAGGACAAGACGGCTTAGACACATTTAAGTTTCTGTTCATTATTTTTACAGATTTTGCTGAGGTTTTTGAAAGAGGTGTACATTTGTCTACATTTCTGAGCCCAGCTGCACTATTAGGAGAATGATGTTCTAGAGAGCCTACCCTTGTAGCCAACTTTGAAAGTTTATTGGTTGAACAACCTAGAGCAGGATGTTGTACAGCTGGAGAATTTGGGGAACATGCAGGCTTGATAGATGATACAGTACATTTCTGAAGAGATGCTGATGGTGTTGAAGCAGTTCTCCCCTGAGCTGATGATGAGCACTTATTTATAGTTTGTCTGTATTTTGAAACAGATGTAAGGTTTTGAGAAGGTGGAGCTAGCTTTTTTGAAACCGGTTTTGATGATTTGGAAAATGACTGAATGTTATTCGCTAAAGAATCTTTTAATTTGGGGTGGCTTTGTGTCAACTGGTCTGTAGATGAGGAATGCTTTACTGCTTCTGAAGAAGAAAGAACTGTTGGTTGGGACAGCTTACATCCTGCCTGTTTCCTATTACCTACACGAGGATTTTTTGAAGCCACAGTAGGTGGCTTTGAACTCTGTTTATGATATGCATCAATGGCAGATATGGGATTCATGAGTGGAGGCTGTGGAGGTCTAGCAGATGAATCAGAAACTGTATCACCAGAGGCACCTTTTTGAAATGACAAAATCTTTTGTTCCAACGTTGCAAACTGAAGCATTCGGCAAGGATCATACTTGAGAAGAAAACCTTGAAGAGTATCCCAGCCTCCACCAACACGTACCATTACATGTTTGCCATGTAACATCTAATAGAAAAGGAGATAAAAGATTTATTGATTATAACTGATTGCACTTAAGCAAGATAGGTATTGCATGAAATATTAAAACGGTTTTAACATTCAGTTTTCCCATTTGCCATCAATACTTAGAAAGCAATAGAAATATTGTACACACACACACTAAAAAACAACTGCTGATCAAGAGTTGCAGAGGAGTACAAGCTGCCCAGAATTATGACAGCAAAGAGAAAGAATGATTGCTGAAGTATTTCCAAGCATCAGTAACAGTGGAATATTTTCAGATAGGCAATGAAATTAGGCAGATAATATAACTAAGGTAAGGTACTAGCAATTAAATTATATTGTCATCTTTTGAAAAGGAATACATTCCCACCCAATTAAGATTGATGCTTAAGTGACAGAGCAAAGTCATTGAAAACTTGTACTTACTCGAATGAACAGTATTTTGTCTCCCAATCTATAGCGTCCTTCAGACAAATACTCAATTGAAAATCTATGAGAGCAGCTACAAGGAGGATCTTCAGCAATATGCTTAACCTAAATTGTACAAAGATGCTGTTATCTTTATATAATATATATTAAAAACAACACTAAATGTGAATTACACAATCTGGACCTGCCCCCAAGAGGGTGTTCTGAGCTAGCAGCATTTTTTTCTCTCCTGCTGACAGACAGCCAATTTTGTTGCCAAAGCTGGCTCCTTGGCAGCATGCTCCCCAGTTATGAATGGGAGCTACCAGGAATGACTCAAGAGGATTTTTGGATGACCATGGATCTACCTCAGAAGAGGACCTAGAAGGTAACAATTCTAAGTGGGAGTAGTCAGAGTGTCACGTCTCCATCTTTTTCCTTTCTACTGTTTGCTTTTTAAGAATGCCTAGATTTTAACTGCACATTTTGATATTTTTTGATGTCTACTTTTAAACGTTAATGTACTGGTTGGATGCTGATTCAAATTAATCCTCTGCTAGATCTTAAAGTGGCTTTTTAATGTTCTTTTTATTGTCTGATTAGCTTCTGTAGAACAATTTTGTCTCTTCTGCATGGAAGCTTCGGCAACTCCAATGAATTTTTTTTTTGATTTACATAAGTATTGAACTTTCACTACAGTGATTTTGTATTTTATAAATTTATGAAGAAATACTGTTCTTATTTTTTTTTAACTTTTGATAAAAAAATCTCTCTTTTATTGCTGAAAGCTCTTCTCATTTATTTTTTAGTTTAATCTGTTATGGTGCTCTCCTCGTCTCTGAGAGGAACTGTTTACGACTGACTGTAAAGTTTCAGCTGTAAAAGTATTTTGGATTACAGCAGACATGTCAAACACAAGGCCCGGGGGCCGGATGCGGCCCGCGAAGTGGTTTCATGTGGCCCGTGAAGCCATCCTGGAAACAGTGAAGGAACGGCCCCCGCTGCCTTGGCCCTGGCCCAGGCCAGCTGGGAGGGAGCCAATGTACAATTTTGTGGTGGCCATCTATGCTGAAACGCATTTAGTCTTAGCTCCACAAGGCCATCTAGAAACAATGAGGAACCAGCCCCTGCCGCGTCGGCCCCACCCCCTGGGTGCATGCTGGGGAGGCGTCACCCTTTGTGAGGAATGAAGAAATGGACCATGCCTTGGCGCTTGCCCTGGTCCCACCCCCTTCTGCCAGAGACCCTCAGATCTGTCCCACTCCTGCCCAGGCCCCCACAGGCACCCTTGACGCGAACAATGTAGAGCTGGCCATGCCCACCCAGTAGGCCACACCCACTCCATCAACACCCACCCAGTAGGCCTCCCCCCCGCGGGCAACTGCAATGCTGATGCGGCCCTCAATGAAATTGAGTTTGACACCCCTGGATTACAGGTAGTCCTCGATTTACAACAGTTCATTTAGTGGTCGTTCAAAGTTACAACAGCACTGAAACAAGTGACCGATGACCGTTTTTCACACTTACGACCATTGCAACATCCTCATGGTCACGTGATCAAAATCTGGATGCTTGGCAATTGACTCATATTTATGACGGTGGCAATGTCCTGGGGTCATGTGATCACCTTTTGTGATTTTCTGACAAGCAATGGGGAACACCAGATTCACTTAACATCCGTGTTATTAATTTAACAACTGCAGTGATTCACTTAAACTGTGGTAAGAAAAGTTGCAAAATGTTACAAAACTCACTTAACAAATGTCTCATTTAGCAACAGAAATTTTGGGCTCAATTGTGGTCGTAGGTCAAGGCCTACCTACATATCAAAATATAGTAAAATGCAAGCAAAATATCAAGATAAATCTCATTGGAAAACTGGGGAGAAAGAATATTTTTTTCAAATTACAAGTTCAACTTGAAAATTTGGATAAGAAGCTTGATAAAATAATTTTAGAAGGTGGTAACCAGATTGTAGCTCAGAATTTTTATATCTGAATTCAAATGCCACTTATCTAGAGCAAAGATATATATCCTAGGACCCCAGAATGTCACATGATAGTGAAATGGGCAGCAATAAATTGAATAAATAAAAAACAAATAAACTCCCCCTAAGTTCTGGGTGCTGGTTTTAGGAATCCTTCAAAAATTATAGAAGGGAGATTATCTTGAGTAAGCTTGTATTCACAGACCAGGAACATCTATACCAAACAGCACTTTGAAAAGATCAACTACCATTATCTGGTATAATGAGTATCAGTAGCTTTCAATCAAGAGAATCATGCTCCAATTTAAGCATCTCTGTGTTACCTGCACTCTGGATAAGACTTATCCTGATTACATGAATAGTGAGATATCAAACGCCTTTGGTACTAACCAAATTAGTTAGATGCCATTGATTAGAACTTAACTCTTGGGTGACCATGAATGCTTGTCACTTCAAACTGCCTCATAGTTTTCCCAAGGACAGTCCTATCATCCCTTTGATCCTATCCATCTCATGCATCCTATCCATCTCATGCATCCTGTCCTGCTGTGTTGTCAATTGCCAAACAGAATATCCACATTTCTAGAAGCTAAATTTGGTTTTCCAAGAGGTAATATCAATAGTTGCTTAAAACTACACTACATACAAAAAGCTTGCAACACTGCCTGAGAAGATTAACCAAGACTAATACACATCAGAAATGTAGTGCTTAGACAGGTGGTTTCCTGAGCTGAAAAGGCTTTGAAGGCTTTCTTCTGTGATAAGTCCATGGTCTGACAATAAAATGGCTTCACCTTTCATGCTAATTCACAATTTATAAAGTCATAAACAAGTAATGGCTGGTTCAGATGTAACAAAAAAAATCAATTAATTTGCTTTATTGTAATCTTGACCAACATTACATAGATAGATTTTTGGTCGGAATGTGATTTGCAGACACCTGGGCTATGTTCATATTTCATGCTAAACATGGTTTGCCTGACTATGATTTGTAAGATAAATCAAAATTTGCTGTTTTTGTCCAAATGCTAAACTTTAAATACAGTTAATAAACCACAATGGCTTGGCTTGCATAATATGTTATTCCAAACCAAGCAAGCTTGGACCATTGCATGACCTAGTTATTCAAAATACCTAGAAAGTTTACATAATTCACCATTGAGTTACAGATTTCAGAAAGTTTTAGATTATAGCTTCATAGGTAGAAATATGCATGCTACTTACTGCTTCATGTAATTCTCCATGCTGGCAACATGATTTGTAGGAAACTATCGGGGTTACACTATCAGAAGACATCAACAAAGTTTCTTCCAATTCAATTTCTTTCTCTAGCTTTACTAATACTGGTGGTTCAACTCCATGTCTATAAAAAGAAAAATGTATAAAATACTACATTTAGAATTCTAACAAAAATCTAAGACAATAACCATAGGGTGAGAATAGCTATTATACTTATGACATATATAAAACATGAACACTTGAAATCATTGCTATCAAGAAAAAAGGAGAATTATCTAGGTTAGATATAGAACTGGTATTGTTCCCGAGTACTTTTGGGAGTAAGGGTAGAAGACAGGAATTAAAACATTCTATTGTCCTACGGGTTACTGGCTTCTTCAGTAAAACTTGGTCCCCTACTGTTGATTAGTGACAGTAGAGGTTCTTTCATTATCTCACCCAATGGCAAAAGAAGACTTCCTTTTCCACTTGTAGGTGGGAAAATGCAAAATATCCTATGACATCTGGACTGCCTTTCCAGGGAATATAGGATTATAACTGAATGGCTGTGTTTCATAATACTCTTAACTTAAAAATGAGGTTTATCAAATAACCCATTTTCATGACATGTACACAAAAACATAACTAATCATGCACTAACTGAAATGCACTAGGTTAGTTTGTAGTACCATGTACTTTATGAAAACAGCCAATCTCTGGGGTGAAAGCTCTTAAGAACCTTTAGGGAGACTTATTATGCATTCAAGCATCTACTTGGAGAAAGAAATGAATACACACCTTGATGCAATGCGACCAATTTCCAGCAAGCAAAGGTACACTTGTCTTCGGTCTTTATGCAGCACTGTAAAAAAATTAGTGCATGTAAGGAAAAAATAATAATTCAGTGAAACCTAGAGAACTTGCCTGTATTCAACAGCATGGAGCAAAATTTGCAACACATGTAACTCATATGTAAACATCTAAGTCTGTACCAGCAAGTTCTTTTCTAATCTACTCCCTGGTGTACTTTTGCTTGGCATCCAGACCTTCCTTTAGCTATCATCGATTTGGAAATCTAGCAGTGCATTTATTTATTTATGTATTCATTTAAAACATTTATATAACTGCCCATCCTCTAAACAACTCTGGGACGCTCCCAATCAAAGATTAAAACAACATATAAAACAGTATAAAACTATAAAAGCAAACACATTAAACTATTAAAAACAACAAAACCCTCATGCCAACTCAAACGTCTTATTTGCAATCATCCAATCTTATCCCAGCGCTTGGGGGAAAGGCCAGGTCTCCAAAGCTTCACAGAAGGCTAGGATGATAGAGAGGCCTGCCAAACTTCAGAGGGCTGAGTATCCCATAGGACGAGGGCTGCCATGGAAGAGGCATGCTTCCTAGTTCCCAATACTAACAGCGACCCAATTATGAATATGCATGGCATGAGGTTTGTGCTGGAGCCCTATCAGCACTCCCTTTGGGGTTTGCTTGGGCAAATCAACTGTCCCATAAGACTCTGGATTTTCCTTCCTGCTATCCCTGGACAAACTGTCCACAAAGTTTAGCTAAGTGTGCCTCTCTTAGCTTTCACCAAAGTGACCCGTGTCCTTTCCATATGTCTGTAGCAGAATCTCCCAGCAATGAGGAACAGAATCTTAGACACCTCCTGAAAAAAACCTTCCCATGACCTTCTCAAACATAAGCCAACAGATTAGTTAAAGGCCTTGGTATAAACCTTTGTTAAAGAAGACATCCAATGATAAGGGCCATTTTTTACGTTTTCAATTCCCTACTGGGGTTGGGAGGAATGCTTAAAGCAGAAATCATGGATATTAGCATAGTGGAACCAATGTGACTGCCAGGGCTACCAGCTTACTGTAAGTAGCTTGGCCAATCAAAGCTTTCCATGGATGAAGAGGTAGGCTCTCTGGACTTTTGGAAAGGCGGGTGGGGAACATTAATGCTTAATATGAAGTTCTTCAATAAAAGGGGTCCTTTCCCAAACTGTCACTTTCTGAGAGAGAGAGCAGAAAATTGAATCCCAAATGCTGTTCTGGCTTTTCCATAATCTGAAACCCTCTAGGACAGACATGTCAAACTCGCAATGTCACGTGACGTCGCGCAACGTATCGGGACTGTTTTGCCATTGCCGGCAATGGGGTGGGCGCGGCTTCCACATGACACGTCTGGCCCGCGGGTCGGCAATTTGACACCCCTGTTCTAGGAGTTCCTAACCTTCATTTTGAGAAATCCTGCTTTATCCTATATGGTCCCTTCTTTCAAAAATTCTCAACTGCAAGGAAAAATGCATTCAGGATGTGTAATAGAATAGATGCATATTAGAATAACCATAATTTTCATAGATATTGAATGTAAGTAAAGAATTCTAAACATGTAAAACAGAAGGCAGCATAATCTGGGCCATACAAGCAGAGGAATGTCTGACATTTAGTTTGAGTTATAAACCTTCAATATGGCATTATAATGGCTAGATCAAATACCAGATTTATCTAAGAAATAAACTGCATAAAATATGGAAATGGATGGTCACATGAGGTTGTTTTTTTTCCAGAAAAGTCAAGCCATCTTTTCCTTTCATCAAAAGGGCAGGAGCAATGAAGCAAGTTTAAAAGGTTCACTTTTGAAAGTAAAACTATCAATACTTGTATTTCTTTAAAATAAATCTGATTAATCAGAACTTAAACAGACTTGTTCCTTGAACATTCCAGTCTTCATTATGATGAGTTTGGGCAACCTGTGTCATATTAATATGGTCCAGCCCCCGTGATGAGGCACATCTCACCCAGCTCAATGTTTTGTAGAAGTTGCTTATGGCAGGTTTACAACTGCAAAATGAGTTTAGCCTCTTTTTAAAAGTATAAAGATTCAATGGCACTTGTAACGATGAATGCAGTGAAACTCTTTTGAGACCCAGATGGCCCCTGCATGAATATTGTCTAGGCACAAACCCACTCTTTATTTCACCCCCACAAACTTACAAAAGGGTCCTTGCAGATCTTTGCCAAGAACACACAAAGCATATATTCATGCCACAAAACCAGCTACTGTAATCAGTAACCACTTTCAAAATATTCTGAATTATGTCCTTAAAACTGCAATATTATACAGGGTTGGTGAACCTACACCCTGTTCCTTTATAGAAAAAAATAACTGAATGTAGATTAAAATATGCTGTGTAGGAGATATATCAATCCTATCATTCTTGGATGACATTATGTCTTATAAACTCTGTCCACTGTTAATTACATTGAAAAACTGTTTATAAACTGAACTTTGCCATACCTTTAACAATTCTAAATTATATTTTTTAAATTTAAACAAACCCACACCATGCAAAGCAAATACATAAAGAATACTCTTCAAGAAGAATATACACCAAACAATTTAAACATTGATTTTATATAGGTCTAGGGCTTACAGCTATGTCTATCTATTCTTAAAAGGGACAATGCTAAAAACGTAATTATCAATACATCTTCAAGCTATTTTTCTTAATGAACAGTATAAGATTTTAGTCCATCTGGAAAAATTTGGTCTGGCAGCTGCTGGTTACAAGGTCCAGCCTGAAACAACAAGATGTAGGCAGTCCAATCCTTGAGGTGCAAACCCAACAACAGATTTACTTAGGATGAGTATTAAACTGAGGGTAGCAACTCTGGGCATAATTCATAGTTTGTATTTTTATAGCTACCAAGTTAGGAAAAAGACATAAAAATAGAATCCAGGACTTGAAGCAAAAGATTAATTATCAACAGATTATTAACTATTAACATTAAATTCTTCATTCAACAGCCTAATTTACCAACCAGGTACATATTATACTTTATTCAGAGATTCATAATCAAGAGTCTTTATTGCCATTTTGGGGAAAGGCAACTTTGCTCTCAACTCTTGAAAAATATTGGCAGTTCACATATTCATTAACATAACAAACAGTTTTACATATACTTTTAAAATGTTGTTTAATCTATGAGGATCTGTAATATAAAAAGCTTCAAAGCAGACATTGATAGTTGTTTTTTTAACTAGGCTCCCACCTCTTGATTACCACAAATTTATTACTGTGTCTAGATCAGAGGTTACCAACCTTTCTCAGTTGGCGGACCGGAGGGAAAGCGAGGGGGAAGCATTTTAAACACGAGTGCGCGCATGGGGCCACGAGCATGCACGTGATATTCGCTAGCCCTGGCCTGTTCTCGTGCGGCGCAGCATCCCATTTTCATGCTCCCAGCGCTGTTTTTGTGCCCCGTGGCACAGCAGCATCCCGTTTTCGCACCCCGCTGTGCGTCCCATTTTTACACCCCGCAGCGCGGCAGCATCCCATTCTCACACCCCACAGTGCAGCAGCATCTTGTTTTTGTGCCCCATTACGCGGCAGCAGCCCATTTTTGCACCCACAGCCAAGGTGCTAGCGCAAATGGGTGTGTGTGTGCCGTGGCCCACAGGTTGGGGACCCCTGGTCTAGATTACACACAGCAGTACACACCCATGGAAATGAAGGTTGTGGCTTGTTCCTTATCTTACAGGGCATGTTCCAGGAAATCAGTTTGGGAGGCACTACAAAACAGTTATTGGACAGTTTGGAATTGGAACAAAAAAAACGCTATTGCTATAGTACATCAATTGATGCTTAGGATTATGGGATGTTGATTTTATTATTATTATGCATTAGTTTTCAGAGTAGATTTCTTGTAAAAGCTATATAAGAAAACTTTTCCAGCCACTCTCAGGTTGTGAAGAAATCATTTTTTATAAACTCTCAATAAAGCATAAACAAATTTCTCAAGAGAATACAGGTAATCCTCAATTTAGAACCATTTGTTTAGTGATCATTTGAAGTTACTACAGCACTGAAAAAGTCACATGACCCTTTTTCCACACTTGTAACCATTGTAGATTCCCCATGATCACGTGATCAGAATTCAGACACTTGGCAACTGGAATATATTTATGAGGGTTGCAATGTTCCATGGACATGTGATCACTTTTTGTGACTTTCTGACAACAAAGTCAATGGCAAAGCCAGATTTCACTTAACAATTGTGTTATTAACCTAATAACTGCAGTGATTCAGTTAACACCTGTGGCAAGAAAAGCCATACAATGGGGCAAAACTCACTTAACAACTGATTTGCATAGCAACAGAACTTTTGGGCTCAATTGTGGTTGTAAATTAAGGACTACCTGTACTTTCTAAGCTTAATTTAGTTATCTGTAGCTGAATCACACAACCATTTTGACAATATAACCAATGTAATGAAAATACTATAGTAGTTATTATATTTCAAGTTTTTCCAATGTTGTGACCAGTGGTGGGATTCAGCTGGTAGCTAATTTTTTGTTGACTTTGGTGAACCGGCTGAAGTCCTAGCCCTTTTTCGCAAGGCCCAGAACGGACCACCGGAAGTGCGTGGACACCACTTCTGGAAGTCCGTTCTGAGCCTCGGAGGCCTGGGGGAGGCTTCCCAGGCCCAGAATGGACTATCAAAGCGGCGTCTATGCAGAGAACCAATTATTCAGGTGTTTGAATCCCACCACTGGTAGTGACACATCACTTGCAAATTCAACTCAACATCTGAAAGTTACCAAGGACCTAGTGAGCTGTCAATGAACCCACAGAGAGCATTAATAAAGCCATTCACATCAACATGTTCCAAAGACATCAGCCTAACCCGATGCAAATTCACATTGCAAAAATCAGACAATCCCAACATTTTTGGAAAAGAAAGTCCCTCTCAATTCTGTTGGAAAGGTATTGCAATAACATTATTAAATTTGTCAAGCTAAATTTTAAAACTCTTATAGTAATTTTTATTATCAGAAAGTCCACCAAAACAAAACTGTTTTAATATTTCAGTCTAAGAAATACTTTGCCCTGTTTAGCATTGTTTTGTATTTCTACATGTTTTAACAGTGTTTATTAAACATACCAAGATATTTTTCTATACAGAGGGGTCTCATTTATACAAACACTTATCTTTTAAATTTAGAAGGGAATAATAGCGTGTATAAGAAATTAGTGTATATAATTCAATAAAACAATGCAAAAAAGCAACAAAAGTTACCTAAGCCTTCAGATTCAAAAAGATAAGTCTCATCCACTCCAATGCATCTACACCAATTCAGAAAGTTCGCTGTATTATCTCTGGCAAAGAAAGATCCTGAAGGAGCATCTTTTTTACAGGGGACTTTTCTCAAAGGGAAATTCTGGAAAGTAATAGACAAATTTTAACAGGAAACATTCCAAAACATTTTATCACAAAGGCTTTTTCTAGGGTAGAACCAGTAAGGAGAGTGGGGAGGGGGTTCCTTTCCCCCCCCCCCCGCAAAAAAGATTACATTTCAAAAGAATTTCAGCTGTAAATAAATAAGCAATGGGAAAATTTGTTTAAAATAGTACTGTCGAAGAGTTGGCTAAAAGGTAAAAAAGGTCACAAACTTTGTGGCATTCACTTTTAGTTGTCAGAAAAAAGTAGATGACCCATTTACTTAGCTGAAAACATGGCTTGAAAGACTCTTCAAATATATATTACTGGCAAAAGATATTAAGAAGGGCAATAACATATATCACATGATTATCCAAAACAAACCCTCTAGGATATTTATATCCAAAATACTACTTCGGTATTTTAAAATTAGAACAAATCTGTCAGCAGCTTGAACATATGATTCACATTTTTCTAATGAATTTCAAGTCATGTACAATTTTAATCAGCAGACTTTCATCTTCCAAATTACTTTTTCTTTTTAACGGAATCTAATATGAGGCTCAACTTTCATGTATTCTGCACCATCTCAAGCTACTGTATGTACTATTTTATATCTGTTTTGATTCTAAGTGCATCTAATGTGTAATCTTGGTCACATGACATTTAATTTAAAGAAAAATTGCAATTATTTAAAACAAATGAACTTACTTTTAAATCATTTGAGTTACAAGAGCTTTTAACTATGTTTTGAATGACTCCAATCAAAATGCACAGGAGTACCCCATTATCAAGTTCTTCCAATAAATGCTCTGCTTTAAGTTCAATACCTATAGAAAAGCCATGATTTTTATTAGTAGAGAGAAGATAAAACTCAGACTGATAACCCAGATATTCATAAGCAAAGCTTCAACCTAAATCAGTTGAAAATATAGTTTATTTATTATTAAATTTACATGCTGCCTATCTCACTATTCAAAGCCTCTATAATACTCCCTTTTATTGTGGTTTAACTCCAGTGGGATTGCGGCAATGTCCAAACTGATACAGAATGTCACAGATGTCATTCATATTTAAAGCACATGATATATTTTAAAATAATTATTTAAATTTCAAGTTGTACACTGGACTGTAGTTTAAATTATACTAATTAGGAAAAATATTGAATCTCATACTGTTCTGATTAGTCAATGTTTCAAAAAAGCAGACATGCATTTTAAAATTGTTTAGGACAGTGGTTCTCAACCTTTTTAATGCCGCGACCCCCAACCGATCGTAAGTCGAGGACTAAACCGGGCATAAGTCGAGGACTAAACCGGGCATAAGTCGAGGACTACGCAACCGGTCGTAAGTCGAGGACTTTCCCTGCCCGGGAGTGCTGCGCATGCGTGGTTCCGCCCCCTGCGCCGGCTGAGGCGTAGCTGGCAAGTGGCAGAGACGGAGCAGGCCGACCACCAGCTGGCCCAGCTCAAGGGAGATAAGGCACCCGCCGGAAAAGGGAAAAAAAGTGGCGGACAGCCTTGCTTGGCGACCCCCGTGAAATGGTCGATCGACCCCAAATGGGGTCCTGACCCATAGGTTGAGAACCACTGGTTTAGGATAAGGCAGTATTATGTACTCTTAACAAATGACTAGACTTCTATTAAAGGAGAAACAGTAACATTAGCAGTTTTAATTCTATCAGCATGAACTCTAAATCTAGCTCTATCCCTACATTTTTTTCTACAGTAATGAGATGGTTCTTCAAACAAACCCAACAAGCCAGATAGCCAGATAGCCAGATCTTCTTGCATAGGAATCAGAGTTGCCTCATGTCGGACAGATATCCATTGGTCATATAGTAAAACATCAGCCAGGCCAGGGCCATGCCTTGGAGTCAGTGGACTTCGTGGATTGATAGGTAAATCATCTCCAAACCACACCTAAGGTACATATTAACAAGACAGTTCGACTACAATTTCAGTACCGTGTAACAACTGATCATATTTGCAATCCATTATCAATGTCTTTAAAAATGGAAAGTCCATAACAACGAAACATACGGTCCCCCAATGATTCACTGTTATTTGGGACTACTTTAGCTCTATTAAAAGCTGTATTTGGCTTGTACAATCCATCTAGATTTGAACATTAAAACTATAGTCAATTATGTTCTTCAGATACATACCAGAAAGTAGGAAATATTTAATAAATATAACTGTAATATTTCAATTTGCCTACCTGAGCTGTATGTTGCATGGTAACTGGATGTTCCTAGGAATGGGAGGAAAAAAAGAGACTTTCAAATAAAAGTCACAAATTGCATTTTATTTTCATTCATTTATCTGCAACATTGGAAAGACAGCCGACAGATCAACAAAAAGTAAACCAATACTGATTATCCCAAATTGGGGCTGTACTTTATTTCCAATACTGAATATCTTTTTTTTTAAACTTCATGTTCAGTATCTCCATAACAACATTCCATGTTTTTATATATCAAAAGTAGGTTAAATCATGTTGACAAATATAAGTAGAAAATCAAATGGTGCATTACAGTAGACAAGCCTAATTCACATGTGTAAATATTCTCTCCCATTTTATATTTCCAGCAAAATGAGATTGACTGCTAGACTATTTCTGGAACATTCAATGAACATGAAAACATCCTCCATTAAAAAAATGTTTTAAAGATCTTTAGCCATTACTTTGTTAATATGAGATATTTCAGCTCTTTTTTTCAGAATTCTTGCAAATAACTAACATCCACATTAGCAATAACTTTCAAATAGCTTAAAAACGTGCTTGGTAATAAACTGATTAATACCAATACTTGCCCATGACTTTTCCCCAAAGTAATTGATCTACAATTTTCAAACTGGGATTACTACAAAGTGTAAAAATGGCACATGAATAAGAATTGAAATTGAAGTTGATCAACTTATGCAGATGTCAGGATTTGAAGTGGTCAATAAAGTTAAATATTTGGGAATTTTTTTGTCATCATCCAACACGAAACTGTACCAGAATAATTATGAAAGATTGTGGAAATTGGTACAAAAGGACTTATTATCATGGAAAAAACTACAGCTTTCGTTGCTGGGCCGTATAGCGGCCATTAAAATGAGTATTTTGCCCAAGTTTCTTTTTCTATTTCAGATGATACCTATTTTAAAAAATGAAATTAACTTGAAAGAATGGCAAAGAGATTTGAATCGCTTTATCTGGGAAGGCAAGAAGGCGAGAGTCAAATTTAAGATTATTCAAGACACTA